TTTTTTTTTTTTTTGTTCTTCTTGATGTTTGTTCTTTATAGCCAAGTTATTTTTTCTCTACAAACCGACCACATAACAATTGAGAAGCTTAATGCAGGCTAAACTTTAAAATGACAAAAGTAGAAATGAAAAAAAATTTTTTTTTTCAAAAATAAACAAAATAATAAATGAAAAAAGATAAGGAGAAAATTTTAATGAAAACTATACATATGCATGAAGAAAAAGTGAAGGAACGAGGAGGGAGTAAAAAAAAAACTGTTTTGATGACTATATGATTTCAAAACGAAGACATCAGTTTACCAGACTTCTGCAACAACAATGATTTGTTGCCCTGACGTTTTTAACTATGGTACTACTAAAAAAAAACCAAGGAAAAAATTTAAAGTTATTTTTAGAAACGTACTTTTCTTTTTTTTTTTCTTTCTTTTCTTATTTCTATAGATTCAACTATGCAAAATTATCAGTTTTTGACAGTTCATCACAACTGTAGTACTGTTTTCAAACAGGCAAAAGTGATAAGAACAAACGTTGGTCAGCTGATGAATAGAGCACAGTAATAAGTACAAAGCATTGCTATAGAAATCATTCTATGTATACATGTGCCTATACAGCTTAATGGCTACTTAAGGGCCATTAAATAAACTTAGTCATAATTAAAGTTTCTTCTTTTGACTACTACATTAAAACTCTGGATCTCTTTCTTTTTACCAACTTTATAAGTGTAAAGAAGCGATAAAATCTGTAGCATAACAAGCAAAGCTTGTTAGAGCATTTCGTACTTGTCGTTCAGCTATGAAACTAGCAAATTTATCATCTTTAAGCCTTTGCCTTATAACTAGCAATTTGTTAGGTTCAACAAAAAAAAAAAATCGCTTCAGTTTAATCTTGAAGAAAAATCTAAAATTTTCTAATTAATTTAGAGCGCAAAAAAACAAAAAATAATTTAAATTTTATAAGAAAAATTTAATTGAACAGATCTTCTATTTTATTACTTAGCACCTATTAGTTTGTACTAAGCAATAACTGTAAGCAGTTATATATATATATGTATCAGTTACAGTTAGCATCGATTGACAAATATGTATAAAATTTGTAAACGATACTTTTTAATATTTGACATGTTCCAAAGTCGTTCGTTTATCAGCACCTTGTAATATGAAACAGCCTTATTCCTGAACGTTATCCTGCTTAATGAAACTGATTCTGAAGAAAATCAAAATTCAGTTTCTTTTTTTTTTTTTTTTCGTATTCTTCTCAAACAATCGCTTGTTTAGGCCAGTTTGAACAATAAGCTTTATTACAGTTTTATTTATTTTAACAAAAAAAAAAAGAAAACCTTTTTCTTAGAAGAAATAAATCAGGCTACTGTTGTCACATTTTGATGTTTGCACAAAATTCTTGCATAAATAATGCTATTAGCGAAAAGAATGTTTGTATTGTGTTTTTAGGACGATAAGAACGATTGGTAAATGACCAAAA